GGAACTCGCGTTAAATGATGAATACATCCCAGCATCTGTTCATCTACACCAGCACTGTGTCACATGACTGACAATGTAGCGCCACAAATGAGGACGAGTGGTGAGAGAAGAGACCAATTTGTATGTCCAACATCACCAGCTAATATCTGGCTTCATTAATAAATTAGTAGCTTGTTTAGACTGTGTGATATTGTTGATGTAACATCTGGAAATGTTGTAGAGTGAAGAAATTAGCACAAAAATCCAGCACAAATTGAAAGCTAATTCATCTTCTTTCAGCTTTTCCCTCTTCAGGGTCTCCACAGCGAGTCATCCTCCTCCACCTCACTCTGTCCTCTGCATCCTCTGTCCTCACTCCAACTACCTGCATGTCCTTTCTAATGCCCCTTTTCCATTAGTATCAGTACAGCAGGGTTCAACACGACTCAACACGGTTCCAAGGCTTTTCCACTATTAACGGTTCATAGAACCGATCCCTTTTTTCAGCACCCATTTCTTTGGGGTTCAAAGCGGGCCGAACCAGCACCAGAACATGACGTCAGAACACTGTCGGTCACTGATTGGTCAGGGGGTGGAGCCACTTGTTTGAGAAACTTTCACAACAACCCGATTCGCCATTCGCAATAACTTGAACTTGAGGAGCGGCTGGACCTATTTTAAAGATTTTAAAAACAAAATGACAACACTGTGGTCTAATGCTGAAGTCCAGGCGTTTTTTGTATTTGGTGGCTGACGACAAAATTCAGAGCGAGCTAGATGAAGCTCCGCCAGTCCCCGACTCCCCCCGGTTCTCTCCACCGGAGCCTCAGAGCCCCCTCAGGCTGTGCAGGGCGTCATCTCCCCGGCTCCAAGCTCCGCTGGTTACCACGGAAGATCCTCCATGTTGCCGACCCGGGGCTCGGACTCTGGGCCGGAATTGTGTTCTCTGCGGGCTCCAAGTTCCGCTGGTCACCGCAGAGGATCGTAAGAGCTACCGGCCCGCAAGAAGCACGTGAGGTCGGGATCTGGACCTCGGTCTCATGTGCTCATGAAGGCTGAACCCTGACTCCTGGCAGGCGGGTGGACCGGGACGGATCTGGGACGGAGGGTGGAAACGATTTTATGTATAAAAAAATTATGTATTTTTCAGTGAAGATAATAAATAGATAAATAAACTGTGCTGGCTTTATCATGAAAGCCTGTTGTCACTTTAATGACTATTAAATAATCTGTTAAAGTTAACTCAGCTGAAAAATCATTAAAAGACAAAAAAATATTGGATCTCTCAGGAATATTTCCCTCAAAAATGTTTAAAGAAGAGATACGGCCTTTAGTTCAACTTTATTCCAACCTACAGATGTACAAATCACAAAACAAAAATTTAACTTTAAATCAAAGCTTAAAAAAAACAATCTGTACTCAAGAAACAAAACCATATATCTAAATTGAACAATAAAAATAGACATGAGGGCAAATACATCAAATGATGAAAAAAAACGTAACATTTTTTAAATATAGATGGCTTTGTAGAATCTGGTTCATAAGAGATTTAATGGTGAACTAAAGTTCA